CTCTGACCTGACAAATCAGTACTCCTGACTCACTGGCCTGTACCTACCAAATTATTCTGAAATACTCTGATTCTTGGGGAGACTGATTTGTGTAATAACAAGACTCCAGTCTCCCATACAGCTGGCTCTGTGTGAATTACTCTTTCTCTATTGCAATTCCCCTGTCTTGATAAATTGGCTCTGTCTAGGCAGTGGGCAAGGTGAACCTGTTAGGCGGTTACAGACTCCAGAAGGCAGAGGATATAATGAGGCAAGTCTGACCCTTACCCCTTCCTAGAGTGGCCTGAACTAGTTTTTTAGGTTTCTTGGAACTCCCCTTGGCCAAGAGGGGGTTCCATTTAGTAATTTGGGGGGCTTTGAATTTTATTTTTGGTTTACAAACCCATTCATCATTGTTTATTGAGCTTCTACAGATCTAGGCACTGTGGTTGCTGATGACAGAGAGGTAAAAAAGATTGATAACCAACATGTTCTCATGGATCTCACAGCCTTGTTCAGGAGAGAGATAACATAAAAGTATTTACAAAGCCACATAAGTGCTATAATGGGGTAATTATAGGGTATGAGAGCGTATGAGAGTGGCCCAGTCTTGACTTGAGGGGAGTGATTAAGAACATGAGTTTTTGAGATCAGAGAGATGAGGAGTTGGCCAGGTGAGAGAGGGTAGGGAGGAAAGAGTATAGCAGAGGGGACAGAATGTACAGACCCAGAGGCCAGATGTCTTCATCTAGCACAGTGTTGGAGAGGCTGAAAAAAGGAGATTCTCAGACTCAAGCTTGGCTGTATTGGGCCCTAGCTCCTGGGATTCTGCAGTTCTGAAAGGACTGCAGTTCACCCCTAGGGTTGGAATCTTCTTTTTTCACTCCAGGTGAGGCATTTCTGTCCCTCACAGTTCAGGTTCAGCTCCAGTCTTCTTTGTCCCTTATAATGCATACAAACTCTTTAAACTTCCTGTATTTCCTGAATTACGGAATTGGTCACTGGGTGCTTCCTTTTCCTTGCTGTATTTGTACAGCTTTCTTTTGTCTTCAAGAGCTATGTAATTATTAAAATAATTGAGTTGGAACCTCTAACTTCTCAGCTCTTTGCTCTATAGGCTATAAGGCATTTTGGTGCTCCTTTTGGGAAAACATTAATCAATTTAAATTGAGGGCACGCACCCAAATGCTGCAGGGGCCAGGCAGGTGCCAGAAATGAGTGGCAGGCCCTATGGAACACTTGGCCTTCCTGGGCTGCCTTTTTCTTTCCTGCTTTGCTGGAGACATGGCATAAGCACTATTTTACTTTTAATGCTAATGTAAGAAAACCCACAGAGCAAACAGGATGATAAGCAGTACCTGTCATTAGCTCTGTGCAGTGGTGATAGTGGGGAGGGTCAGGAAGGGCAGGGACGTGCAGAGAAAATGCTTATGTAAGGTGGAGTCTCAACTCAGCATAGCTGAATAGTGTCTTTGGAAATGTAGGTCTACTGTGCACAAATAGTACAACAAGAGATGGAAATCTGGATGATCTGGGATACATGAAATCGACTACTCTTTAAATTTGGAAAATTATTAAAATTTAAAATATTCTGTTTAATATTGGGTTAAACCAAATGTGTTCATGGGCTCATCCAGTGGTTCTAAAACTTGACTGCACATTAGAATCACCTAGGGAGCTTTTAAAAGTCCCAATGTTCAAGTTACATGCCTGGACAGTTAAGTCAATCTGTGGAGGCAGAATCAGCCATCAGTTTTTGTTGTTGTTGTTGTTGTGGTTTTTGTTTTTGTTTTTGTTTTTGTTTTTGAGACAGTCTTGCTCTGTCACCCAGGCTGGAGTGCAGTGGCATGATCTTGGCTCACTGCAACCTCCACCTCCGAGGTTCAAGCGATTCTCCTTCCTCAGTCTCCTAAGTAGCTGGGATTACAGGTGCCTGCCACCATGCTTGGCTAATTTTTGTATTTTTAGTAGAGACGGGGTTTCACCATGTTGTCCAGCCTGGTCTCGAACTCCCGACCTCAAGTGATCTGCCTGTCTTGGCCTCCCAAAGTGCTGGGAATACAGGTGTTAGCCACCATACCTGACCCAGTTTTTTTTTTTTTTTTGAGACAGAGTCTTGCTGTGTCCCAGGCTGGAGTACAGCGGTGCAGTCTTGGCTCACTACAACCTCCACCTCCCGGGTTCAAGCAGTTCTACCTCAGCCACCCGAGTAGTTGGGACTACAGGCACGTGCCAAACACCCTGCTAATTTTTACATTTTTAGTGGAGACGGGGTTTCACCATGTTGGCCAGGATGGTCTCGATCCACCCGCCCTGGCCTCCCAAAGTGCTGGAATTACAGGTGTGAGCCACTGCGCCCGGCAGACCCAGTATTTTTTTTTTAATGTCTCACATGATTTTAATGTGGAGTTAAGATAAAGAACCATTGCTTTTGGCGTGCCTTGGTTTGTGAGCTCTGATTTGTAGGGCATATTTGGCAGAAGGATGTTGTGAATGTTCTGTTCCACCTGGGGCCTTCTGCCAAGTTAATTGGCAGGTGTGCTGCATCACAGATGGCGAGCGCTATAGACGGGATTTCAAAGGAAATTATCAAGCATTCTCCTATTCTGTTTCTCTTGAGGGCCCCAACTCTTCATCATGAAATATGGGTTGTTACAGTGATAGCAGAAGAGGTCACTAAGAAACTCATATGCCACTATACTCTACATGGGTGCCAAAGCTCCTATCATAGTCCATATTATCTGTATCTAACATCTTGCTCTGGGTACAGTTTCCCACTCAGCCACTTGGGTATACTATCTGCATGTTGCAATGATAATTACTAGGCATTATACATGTGCAGTCACATTGCAGCCATGTGACAATGCCTACTTCTTGTGTAGGTATGCATAAGAAATTCTCTTCAAAGTCTCAGAAGGACTGAGTATGGCAGGCCTCACAAGACACAACCTTGGTGGGCAAATAGCAGTGTCTGACATTCCTAACACCATCCTCAGATAGTGGTATTTCCCACAATCCCCTGTCCTTGACTCTGTTATTTCTCTTGGCTCACATTGCTTAGCTAACACTCTTACACCTCTTAAATCCATGCTGCTAATTTTAATCTCTCTACTAAATTCAATCGCAAATTTCCAATGGCTAATTAGATATCTCTATCTGAATGTCTTAAGGACCCATGGACTCAATGTGTCCAATCCTGAATTCATTATTGTCTTCAGTAAATTTGTTTCTCTCTTTCTTTCTCTTCTCCCCTCCCTTGTCCCATTTGCTTTGCTTAAAAAAAATTACTGGAAAGACATGTAAAGGAAGAACTGAAATACCAGGGGTCAGAAGGACAGGAGGTAAGGAACTTGTTGGCTAACAGCTGCAGAAACATGGATAGCCTTCTAAGATGCTGCCTTTGGATGGCTCCTTTACAAATGTCTCCAGTCTCCCTGTATCTCTGCTCAAGATTCCATTCCTGATGCTTTTACACTGTTGGTGGGAGTGTAAATTAGTTCAACCATTGTGGAAGACAGTGTGGCGATTCCTCAAGAATCTAGAACTAAAAATTCAATTTGACCCAGCTATCCAATTACTGGGTATATACCCAAATAATTATAAATCATTCTATTATAAAGACACATGCACACATATGTTTATTGCAGCACTGTTCACAATAGCAAAGACCTGGAACCAACCCAAATGCCCATTAATAATAGACTGGATAAAGAAAATGTAGCACAATAACACCATGGAATACTATGCAGCCACAAAAAAGGATGAGTTAATGTCCTTTGCAGGGACATGGATGAAGCTGGAAACCATCATTCTCAGAAAAATAACACAAGAACAGAAAACCAAACATTGTATATTCTCACTCATAAGTGGGAGTTGAACAATGAGAACATATGGACATATGGAGGGGGACATCACACACCAGGGCCTGTTGGGTGGTGGGAGGACAAGCTGGGGGAGAGCATTAGGAGAAATAATATAGATGACAGGGTGATGGATGCAGCCGACCACCATGGCACATGTATACCTCTGCAACAAACCTGAATGTTCAGCACATGTACCCCAGGACCTAAAGTATGATTTAAAAAAAAAAGATTAAATTCCTGAAAGAGATAAACTGATTGACCTATCTTGGGTCCTGTGGCCATCCCTGACTTTGACTCAAGTTAGTGGGTTCGATTGGGAACCTCACAGAATCAGATGAAATGAGGTAGAAGTAATTCCTCAAAGACAAAAATAGAGCATATTGCCAGGAAAAGAGGAAGAACTTCAAAATATGGGGAAAATAATTTTATACCATTTTGTGGATTTAAACAATATATAAAAGTGGCACATAAAACAGAAGTAAATGCATTTGTGAGAAACCAATGTTTTAACTCACTTCTATGTTAATAAGTAAAGTAATTCATGGTCAAAATTAATTGCAGTTCAGAAGCTTATAAAGTGAGAAGTAAAAATGTTCCTTCCTTTAATTTATGCTTCTCTAAGTTCCTAGTGCTACTCCGAAGGGTAATCACTGTTAGCAGTTCTTATATGTCAGAAGAAATATTTTTAGTTAAGAAGTTGGGCTTATTTCTAGGACTATTTCCTTTTCAGGTTCCAACAACATTACAGTGCTCATTATCACATGTGTCAACCCACTTCTATTAATATTATGGCAAAATTAGTGGTACCAATGGATGAATGATTGTCCAAACTTTAAATAAATGTGAGGCTGAGCGTGGTGGCTCACGCCTGTAATCCCAGTGCTTTGGGAGGCTGAGGCAAGTGGATCACCTGAGGTCAGGAGTTTGAGACCAGCCTGACCAACATGGTGAAACCCCATGTCTACTAAAAATACAAAAAATTAGCTGGGCATGGTGATAGGCACCTGTAATCCCAGCTACTTGGGAGGCTGAGGCAGAAGAATCACTTGAACTCGGGAGGCGGAGGTTGCAGTGAGCTGAGATTGCATCACTGGACTCCAGCCTGGGTGACAATGTGAGACTGCATCTCAAAAATAAATAAGTAAATAAATATAGTACTTTATAAATTATTGTCATTAAGTTCTTTCTGGACTTCCTATCTCCCATAACATAATTTTTCATCTTTCTTTTCTATGTTTTCTTTTTCTTAAAGATGGGGTTTCACCATGATGGCCAGGCTGGTCTTGAACCCCTAACCTCAGGTGATCCACCCACCTCAGCCTCCCAAAGTGCCTGGCCCTGTTTTTTTTTTTGTTTTCATCTTTCATATAACAAAGGCCATGCCAATTTTAAATCAACATTTTATAGATATCCTTGCTGATCATAAATCTGACATAGAAACTTTGTGTTCAAAATGTTCTTTTACACTGTTCTGCTAATAAGGAGAAAATAAACTATTAATAGAAGCTGGCTTGTCAAAATCCAGGTATGATAAGTATCTCTGGACCAGAACATGTAGTATTATGTAAATATTTCCCCGAGAGATAGATATTTGTAGTTTCCTTCTTGTTTGAATCCTGGTAGAGTTTGTTCTTTTCTTTGCTCCCATCAATATTTTGCAGATAGAGAGGAAGTTAGAACTGAATGATCCAAGCCTTATGCAATTAGCCATTTGGAAACTGCCATATAAACAGTAAAGAGGAGAATCAGCTGGCATGACTTCCAGTGAGCAGTTTTGGGGAAGAAGAATGGTCTTGATTGCCTTTCATTGGGCATACAGGAAAGCAGAGTTGGCTTTCACCTCTTCATCTGGCCCCCTAGGCAAGCTCCAAGCAGACCATGCAGATACATTTTATCTTGCTACTCTAATCTTTTCCTCCTGAAAGGGTTTGTTTGAATGCAAAAGGTTCCCTGTTTCCTTGGCATGCTAAGGACTCCCTTGTTTCCCAAGGCTATGGAAAAGAGAAAAATGGAAAGTGGAGAGAAATAACGGATGTAATTACTCTGCAGCTGGTTCCGCAACAGTTAAATACTTGATGTTCTGACCTGTAAACAAAGCATGGGGACATTTCTAGCAGCAGCATATGTTCCCTCTAGACCCCTGTGTCTTCCTAATTGAACTTCAGAGATTAATGCCACAAGAATTTGTCATGGAATGGCACAGCCTGGTTCTAAAAAACCTGCCCCACTTCCAAGGCATGGGTCCAAGAGAATGGTTTTGCACTAATTGCTCTTTGTGTATAAATTTCCTCTGAATAATCTGGAGGTAAATCAGAAATGGGGAGAATTGTAGCAGATCTACTGTGATGAAAATGAAGAGGAAATCAGTGAGATTATGGGGGAGATGTGGAATTTCCATCTGCCAGGGAATTGCCTTTGCCCAAAGCACAAGGGGCAGTTGACCCCCCTGCTATGTTCTTGTTGAGGAAATGTGGGTTTCCACTTTGCGGAAGTTGAGGTGATCAACAGATTTTTCTTCTTTCCCCCTCTTCCTCTAAACTTTCCTCTAATTTTTCTTCTTTCCCCCTCTTCCTCTAACTTTTTATAGTTAGTATGCAAGTATTGGCCTTGGATTAAACTGTAAACTCTAACCAGGACTTGCACACAGTAGACACCTGCTTGACCAACATCTGCTGAACTGAGCGGCAAGAATTCACAGTCACAATAGAAACCAAGTAATCAGGACTTCCTCTCCATTTTGCTTGGTTCAGCCTTCGGGGCTGGGTGAAAGGGTGTTGTTTACTTGCACTAGCTAGAGGTGATGTGTGTGTGTGTGTGTGTGTGTGTGTGTGTGTGGTGGGGTAGGCAGAATTAGCTGTCAAACTTAAAGGACAAGATGAAGAGAAAATAGGAGGATAAATGGATATTCCTTTAGCTCAGCATTTGTGATGTAGGACAGAATCTATTGTACAGAATTGGGAAGGCAGCTCAGAACTCACCCCTTGATAGCTGAGTGAATGCTGGCTCTCTTCTAGAGGGTGCTGTGCAGCTAACATGGTGGCCTGGGGGAGTGATGGAAGGCCCATATACTTTGACTTCTCATAAACTCCTATGGCAGGTTTTTAATAACTGATAGAATAAGTAAACAGAAAGTCAATTAGAATATAGAAGACCTGAGCATTACTACTAGCCGACTAGTAGTAATGACATTTGTAGAACCCTCTATCCCCAAACAGCAGAATACACCAGAATATACATTCTTCTCAAGTGCATATAGGACATCTGCCAAGATAGATGATATTCTGGGCCATAAAATGGGTCCCAAGAAGTGTAAAAGATTTTAAGTCACACAGAGTATGTCTTCTAACAATGGAATTAAATCGGAAATCAATAGGAAAATTCTTCAAAAATCCCCAAATATTTGGAAATGAAAGAATATAATTTTAGATAGCTTATTGGTCAAGGAAGATGAAAAGGGAGCTTAGAAAATATTTTGAGCTGAATGAAAAGGAAAATACAACATATCAAAATTTATGGGATGCCGCTAAAACAATACTTAGGAGGAAATTCATAGCACTAAGTGATTGTAATGGAAGAAGAAAGATTTGAAATCAATGACCTTAGTTTTCCACCTTAGGAAATAAGAGCACATTAAACCCAAAGCAAGCAGAAGAAAGGAAATCATATGTATGTGTTAAAATGAAACATTCCATGCAGTAAAATTAAATTTTGGGGGGTGGGGGGATGTTTACAGTTCAATGAGTTTTTATGTGTGTGTGTGTGTGTGTGTGTGTGTGTGTGTTTGTTGTTTACAGTTCAATGAGTTTTTGTGTGTATGTGTGTGTGTGTGTGTGTTGTTTTGTTGTTGTTGTTGTTGTTTTTGAGACAGTTTCACTTTTATTGCCCAGGTTAGAGTGCAGTGGTGATCTCGGCTCACTGCAACTCTGCCTCCCGGGTTCAAGAGATTCTCCTGCCTCGGCCTCCCGAGTAGCTGGGATTACAGGCATGTGCCACTACGCCTGGCTAATTTTTTGTATTTTTAGTAGAGGCGGGGTGTCTCCATGTTTGTCAGGCTGGTCTCAGACTTCTGACCTCAGGTGATCCGCCCATCTCAGCCTCCTAAACTGCTGGGATTACAGGCGTGAGCCACCGCGTCTAGCCAGTTCTGTGAGTTTTAAAACAAATGTAGACCACCACCAACACATTGTAACCACCAGCACGATCAAGATACAGACGTGTTCCATCACTTCCCACATTCCCTCAGGCTGTCCCTTCATGGTCCAACCCTCCCCTAACCCCAAGCCCTGGCAATCACTGACCTGTTCTCTCACACTATAGTTTTGCCTTTCCTAGAGCGTCATAAATGGATTCATACGCTAAGTCCCCTTTAGATAAAGTTGGCTTCTCTCACTTGCATAATGCATTTTCGATTTATTCATATTGTTGAGGGCAGCTGGGTGATCTTGGCTCACGGAAGCCTCACCCTCCCAGGCTCAAAAAGTCCTCCCACCTCAGCCTCCTATGTAGCTGGGACTGTAAGCCGGGACTGTAAACCCGGCCCGGGGCACGGCGGGGAGGTTGCGGCGCCGCAGCCGAAGCAGTCAGCTCCAGGGGGCGCCAACTCCGCGGCCTTGGCAGCGAGATTCCCCCCAACAGTAGCGAGATTCCCCCCAACGGTCGCGAGATTCCCCCCAACGGTCGCGAGATCCCCGCAACGGTCGCCACAAACACCATGGACAACGCTCCCGCCAAGAAGGACACCAAGCAGGAGGTGAAAGAGTTCCTAGCCAGAGAGCCAAAGAAGATTTCCTCTACAGATGGGAACACCCTGTTCAGAACACCGCCAGCTCGGATCAGTTTGAACTGCTCAAGACGCTGGGCGCGGGCTCCTTCGGGCGGGTGGTGCTGGTGAGGCACCAGGAGAGCGGCGGCCACTACGCCATGAAGATCCTCAACAAGCAGAAGGTGGTGAAACTGAAGCAGGTCGAGCAAGTCCTGAGCGAGAAGCGCATCCTGCAGGCGATCGACTTTCCGTTCCTTGTCAAGCTCCAGTTCTCCTTCAGGGACAACTCCAACCTGTACCTGGTGATGGAGTACGTGCCGGGTGGGGACATGTTCTCCCGCCTACGGCGCGTCGGAAAGTTCAGAGAGCCCCATGCCTGTTTCTGTGCAGCCCAGATCGTCCTGGCCTTCCAGTACCTGCACTCGCTCGACCTCATCCACCGCGACCTGAAGCCCGAGAACATCGTCATCGACCAGCAGGGCTACCTGCGGGTGACGGACTTCGGTTTCGCCAAGCGCGTGAGGGGCCGCACTTGGACCCTGTGCGGGACCCCCGAGTACCTTGCCCCCGAGATCATCCTGAACAAAGGCTACAGCAAGGCCGTGGACTGGTGGGCCCTGGGGGTGCTCACCTATGAGATGGCCATGGGCTTCCCGCCCTTCTATGCTGACCAGGCGGTCCAAATCTACCAGAAGATCGTCTCTGGGAAGGTGCAGTTCCCCTCCCACGTCAGCTCTGACCTCAAGGACCTGCTGCGGAACCTGCTGCAGGTGGACCTCTCCAAGCGCTTCGGGAACCTCCGGAATGGGGTCGGCGACATCAAGAACCACAAGTGGTTCACCACAACCAATTGGATTGCCATCTATGAGAAGAAGGTGAAAGCTCCCTTCATCCCGAAGTTGGCAGGCCCTGGGGATGCCAGTAACTTTGACAACTACGAGGAGGAAGAGATCTGGATCTCCATCAACGAGAAGTGTGCCAACGAGTTTTCTGAGTTTTAGGGGTGTGCTTGTGCCCCTGTGGGTTTTCTTTTTTCTTTCTTTCTTGTTTTCTCTTTGGTGAGTGGGTGGGGGGTGGGTGGGTGGCAGGGTTGGACTGAACAGCCAGAGGGCCCCAGAGTTCCTTGCATCTAGTTTCATCCCCACCCCACCTTCCAGGGTTGGGGAAGCAGGAAGCCCAGATATTTAGAGGGACAGAAACACCAGCTGCTCCCTCACCCATTATGCCTTCCTGGGCCCTCTGTGTTTCTCCCTTCCTCCTCCCACAGAGTCCCCCTTGCCCCAGCCCACTTCTATCTGTTGTAAACGAGTTTCTCAGCTCTATTCAGGCCAGGTCTTGCTGATGTATCCAGGAACAGGGTATGGGAAGAGGGGCTCACACTTAACTCCAGCACGAAACAGGCACCACTTGCTAAGATAGGATGAATGAAAAGCACACCTCCTTTCAGAGTAATCCTGCCTGGGAAGGAGAGAGGTTTACTGCCATGTTCAGTGGGCTGCTTGCTAAAATCAAAAATTAAAAAAATAAAAATCTTTAAGTTCCACCAGTGTCCCCTTTTCCTCCTTCCTCTACTTTCACCCCTCCCACCCTTCCCATGTCTCCCCATTCCCAGATCCATTTTAACTAATCCAGGAAGCTAACTGACTTTGGAAGCAGGCTCTGAAGTTTGAACCTCCCCTCTTGAACTGCTGATCTCCCCTTCCTGCTCCCCAGGGGCATCCTCTGCCACTCTTGCAAAGGTCTGTTCCTTCAGGAAGCCTCCACTCTCTTCTTCCCCAACAGACTTTTCTTCACCCTTGGGCTGTGGGAGCCAGACAAAACAGCTGTCCCACTCCCTGCCAAAGAGAAATTGTCCCCTCAAAAGACAGGGAAAGTCCCAAGCCCAAGTCTTTCTGCACAGCATCATTTCCCTGAAACTCCTGAATTTTATTTTTGGCCAGATTGTAATATCCAGCTTCCCCTTATGGGAAGCCACTTGTGCAAAAGGACATGGAAGGGGCTCAGTCCCTCCACCCTACCTCATGGCCCAGGGTTCATGGCTAGGGTTGTTGGGGAGGGGCTGCCTGTTTTCACGGAGCAGCTTCTGCCTCCTCCCAACCTGGGTCCTCTTCCTCCAGCTTAGCTGTCAGCCATCCTTCACCTCTTCTCTCCTGCTACCCTTGTGCTGTTTTCGATTTTTTTTTTTTTTTTTTTTTTTTTTTTTGAGATGAAGTGTTGCTCTTTCGCCCAGGCCTGGAGTACAGTGGCATGATCTTGGCTCACTGCAACCTCTGCCTCATGGGTTCAAGCAATTTTCCTGCCTTGGCCTCCCGAGTAGCTGGGATTACAAGTACCTGTTACCACCCCTGGCTAATTTTTGTATTTTCAGTAGAGATGGGGTTTTGCCATGTTGGCCAGACTGGTCTCAAACTCCTGACCTCAGGTGATCCTCCTGCCTTGGCCTCTCAAAGTGGTGGGATTACAGGCATGAGCCACTGTGTGAGGCCTATTTTCTTTCTTCATAGAAAAGTGAGGAGCTGCTGGCAAGCCACCTTATTCATCTTCATATTTCCCCCTCATCACTTCTCCCCATCCCAGAAGGAGCTCTCAGGCCTGGGGTGGGGCTTCAGGTGGGCTTAGGGTGATTCAACCTATGTGCTTCAAAAGGATGAGATTTCCTCTTGAACAGTGTGCTGTTGTAAACATCTGTCAAAATTATTACCAATAAGGCCGGGTGCTGTAATCTCAGTGCTTTGGGAGGCTGAGGCGAGTGGATCACTTGAGGTCAGGAGTTTGAGACCAGCCTGGCCAACATGGCAAAACCCCTTCTTTCTCTACTAAAAATAATGCAAAAATAGCCAGGCATAGTGGCAAGCACCTGTAATCCCAGTTACTTGGGAGACTGAGGCAGGATAATCAATGAACCCAGGAGGCAGAGGTTGCAGTGAGCTGACATCACATCACTGCACTCCGGGTGATACAGCTAGACTCTGTCTCAAAAAAACAAACAAACAAACAAAAAAACAAGGCCAGGTGCGGTTCCTTACTTCTGTAATCCCAGCACTTTGGGAGGCCAAGGTGGGCAGATCACGAGGTCAAGAGATTGAGACTATTTTGGCCAGTATGGTGAAATCCCATCTCTACTAACAATACAAAAATTAGCTGGGCTTGGTGGTGCGTGCCTGTAGTCCCAGCTACTCAGAAGTTTGAGGCAGGAGTAGTATCGCTTGGACCTGCGAGGCAGAGGTTGCAGTGAGCCTAGATTGTGCCACTGCACTCTAGCCTGCTGACAGAGTGAGACTCTGTCTCAAAATAAATAAATAAATAAAATCCCGAAAACCAAAAAGCAAAACAAAAAAACAACTATTACCAATAAAGTTTTGTTTGAAAAGAACTGGCAAAACTATAATGCTGGAAGTCATAATAGTGACCTGTGAGGATGGCATTGGTCGAGAGGGGACATGAAAGATTTAACAGGTTAGCTGAAAATGTTCTATATCTGCTTAGGTGCTGGGCCCATGAGTATACACAAATGTAAAAATTCGTTGGACCACACAATTCATAGCTGTGCACTTGAGCATATGTAAGTTATACCTCAATGATTAGAAAACAGTTGAAAATGTTGAGGTTTTTTCAAACATGTGAGATACCATAGTCAGGCCATGGGTGATTCAAGTGGGGATAGAGGATCATAGCCTCATGGTATTGAAATAGCATTTGAGTTAGGCCTTAAAATAAAGGTTCTTAACATTTCTTGGGTCCAGGTCACTGTGAATTTGATAAAAAGTATACTCTTTCTCTTAATGAAAAAAACCCCCATATACACAAAAGCATATCCAACTCATGTATATGATTTTATGACCCTGTTAATGTTTATCTCTGACTCTTCTAGGAATCAGTGGGTTCTAGGCTAAGAACCCTACTTAGATAAATGGGTAGATTTACAAACGGGAGGGTAAAGAGTGGGATTCACCTATGAAAACCTATGTAGGGCTGGGTGCAGTGGCTCACGCTTGTAATCCCAGTGCTTTGGGAGGCCGAGGGGGGCCAATCACCTGAGGTCAGGAGTTTGAGACCAGCCTGACCAACACAGAGAAACTTGTCGTTACTAAAAATACAAAATTAGCCGGGTATGGTGGCACATGCCTGTAATCCCAGCTATCTGGGAGGAAGTTTGTCAATGTGTGCATTCAACTTACACTGCTGTGTGTATGCAGCAGTTTGCGAACGCTTTTGGGAGGCTGAGGCAGGAGAATCACTTGAACCCAGGAGGCGGAGGTTGCAGTGAGCCGAGATTGTGCCATTGCACTCCTGCCTGGGCAACAAGAGCAAAACTCCATCTAAAGAAAAAAGAAAAGTCATGTAGTAAAGGAGAGTGGTAGCATATATGGATACTAGAGAGAGGCAGAGGATCCTCCATCATCCACTTCTGCAGAATTCCCTGCTGATATCCCCATTTAGGATGTAAGACATCCTAGCTTTCCAGCACTGACTCTGCAGTGATATTGCTACTTACATTGAGTAACTATGGCTCTGGGCTACATTTACAAAAGTTTACAGCATGTTTGCTTACAAGAACCAGCTTGTTTTAACTTGAAGTATTTAACACTGAGCATCTTACTCATCAGGAATATGTTTCTGCAGCCTTGATCGTTTTGCTTTCTAATGATTTTTCTCCCAGCCTCTTAATGTCTCTATTGCTAGGGACACCTACCAATTGGTGTAAACTGCATTAATTGATTTTTTTTCCATTTTCATGCATCATGAAACTCAGTTTATTTAGGATTTCTGAATATCTCAAATGAAGAGTATTTGGGTTATTTTTAATTAACAAAAGAAATGTAAAGACCATAAATCATTGGAATCAATGTACCACCACAATTGAGAACAAAATATTTTATTTCTCTCAACAAAACTATAGTTTACAGTAGTATTTACTAAATAAATTATATAATTTCTCTTTTACAAGCAATAAACTAGATCACAAATATTTCAAAGACGATGTATGTACACGACATAAGGCCTTTTATAAATAGCTTTGCTTTTCTCATTTCACTAGTAAACAGTGAAAAAATCTTTATAGAAGCTAGTTTTCTATAAAGTATAGGGAGACCTATTATATTGATCTTTAAATGAAACCAATTTAAACTTTTAATGACATGAGCTATAATTCTGCAAAAAGAATTTATACTTTATTTACCATTTGCATGGATGGATTTTAAAAAATATATAAGCAGATTACATATGTTGCTTATGTGTAATCACTGGATGCATGCACAATGAAATAATGCAAAAGTCCACAGGAAAATAGCATTTCCAAGTACAAAAATGTGATTGGCAATGGTATAGAAAGCAGCTTAAATATAGTTCATGCAGTTCTTCACAGTTCAGCAAGCAACAGCAAATGACAGAATAGGGTAGTATTTTTCACATCCCATCTGCTGATCAGCATGAAGTTGACATCTCGAAAACTGTTAACTCAGGTTGATGACTTCTCTGTGTGTAGTGGGGCTCAGCCAAGTTGCTGTGGACAATTCTGGAGTGGAGAAACTTCTCTGCCACAACTGTGCTCATGTCTCATCCATGTGGTCATCCATGTGCTTAGGTGGTCACCATTTTCACTTACTGGGAGAGCAAAAAAGAAAGCAGATATGAGACAAGGTTTTAGTGCCTTCCCCATGAGTGGCAACGCAAGTTCATTATTTTTCCCAATCACTTGTATCTGGAAAATGAGGTGCATTTTGTTTGGAATTCTTCTGCAATGATCAGCATAGCATATGCTGCTTTGGCGGACCTGTAACCTGTTAATTACACCAATGTTTATCAAGATTGAGTCCTGACTACATCACAGCACTGTGCTCAGGACTTGGAAGGAAGCAACACTGACTAAGACACACTCTTGCCCTCTAAGTGCACAGGGACTAGGGATGTGCTGTGGTATATTAGGTCCAAAGCCAAAAAGAACAACTTAAACATGGCCTTGAACTTGTAAATGTTTTTTTCCAAACAATATCCCTGTGGCCAGGTGGTAACAATATGTTCAGCAAGTATTTAAATGGTAGCTATTGAAAATCAGAGCCAGCTAACCCAATCTGTGACAATTGTACTATGATATATGTGGGGAAAGCAATATTATATTCAGTCTTTTCTCCTTTTTTTTTTTTTTTTTTTTTTTTTGGTTGTTGTTGTTTAGATGGAGTTTCACTCTTGTTGCCCAGGCTGGAGTGCAATGGTACAATCTCAGCTAACCGCAGCCTTTGCCCCCTGGTTTCAAGTGATTCTCCTGCTTCTGCCTCCCAAGTAGCTGGGATTACAGGTGCCCACCACCACACCCAGCTAATTTTTGTATTTTTAGTAGAGATGGGATTTCACTGTGTTGGCCAGACTGGTCTTGAACTCCTGACCTCCCACCTCAGCCTCCCAAAGTGCTGGGATTACAGGAGTGAGCCACTGTACCTGGCTATGTTCAGTCTTTAGAAACAGACACATTGGGTCAAATAATTTGATTTCCTAATTATTACATCTATAGAATATTACACAATGTCTTCTTGGAACCTTGTTGTTTCGTCTCTTAAATGGAGGTAACAAACTCTATAGCATAGTTGTGAGGGATAAATTTTTCCATGGGGAAAATGAAATGTGTACACACACACACAATATACACAAATCTTATATTTATAATTGAGTACTGTGCCTGGCAGGTGTTAGTGCCCCCAAAATTGTAGCGAAGAAGATTGGAGCTTAGGGTCACAGAGACAGGTGCAGCTCAGTACCTTTAATTGGAGGCTGAAAAAACTTGAGTAAAAAGTTTGAAACAACTCTGAAAATTATTAGGAAAGAGAACATGTCACATACAGGGAATTCTGTTTAACAATGAAGATTTTATCTGAGCCCATTGTGCACTGTAATTTTTATGAACTTACTATTTTGTTTTATACTTTGGCTGCTCCCTCTCATTCACCTAAGCTAGAAGGGTTTGCTTGCTTAAATGCGCAGCATGGTCATGCTGTTACTCAAAAATGATCTTTAGGAAGAGGTGAGTATAAGGTGCTGTAAGCTATAGCAGTGGGCAAATGGGATGTTGCCCACATTCCCAGGACAGCTGTCCTTAAGGTGGACTGGTGGACTTCATTCAGCCTCAGTCTGATAACTTTGATGTACGGCGTAGGTCTTTACTTACAAAACTAGTAACATACAAAAGAACCCACACAGAATGATGAGGCCCTACTGATTAGAATTATAAGTCCTGCTTTCTTAAAGGCAAGCAAAACAAAAACAAAGAGTGATAGTTTTGCTTTCCTCGTCCTATAGATCACACTGCAGTTCTGTGTCTTAATTCCAGTGCCAGACTCTGAGAGGGACAGTGAGTAACCTGAGTGATGCCTGAGGACATCCACCAGTGAAGGGTGCCAGAGCCAGGACCCATGGGAATGGCTAAAGGCTTGGCGTTTTTTATCTAGAAAATAGGAGAGGTAGAAACAGGGCATAATAGTTGTCTTTGAGTCTCTGAAGACTAGCCTTGGGGAAGAAAGGCTTAGGTACTAGCTTAGTACCAGTATTCCTGAAAGATGTGACATTGTCACCAGTAATAGTGGCACAGATGCTGTGATTCTGGGGTCAGGAATCTCAGAAGGTGTGAAGGGCATAGAGTTGTAAAGCTGCACCCCCTCCACTCTTTCTTCATTAAGGATCCTGAAATTCACATCCTCCCCAAGTATATGACATGTGTACATGATACAAGCCTTCCCCACATACATGAGCCCAACATGCCATCTGCTGAGACTCAGTGGTTGAGAATGATCCCAGAAGCCAGAACCAGGACAACTGCATGGAAACCAGTTCTGTCTCAAGCTGGAAGTGTTTTCTAATCAGAATAAAGAAATGAGTGGGCTAGGTGTGATGGCTCATGTCTGTAATCCCAGCACTTTGTGAGGCCGAGGTGGGAGGATCACTTGAGCCCAGGAGTTCAAGATGAGCTTTGGCAACATAGTGAGACCCTGTCTCTACAAAAAATAAATAAATAAATAAAATTAAAAAGATTAGCTTGGTGTGGTGGCATTTGCCTGTGGTCCCAGCTACTCAGGAGGCTGAGGTGGGAGGACTGCTTAAGCCCAGGAGTTTGAGGCTACAATAAGTTATGATCACACCACTGCATTCCAGCCTGGGTAATGGAGAGAGACACTATCTGTAAAGAAAAAAATAAAAAAAAAGGGGGGGAAGGCTTCAGCACTTGTGGGTAGGTTGGATCAGATGACTATGAAGTTCTGTTTCAACCACAAGATTCTATTAAAAAATTATCTGTAAATTTATACCACTGAATAGCTCAGAATACTGTAAACAGTTGGTGACTTATGCAATGAGAAGATCTGAAAAGAATTTAATACCTTGATGTTTCTCATAAAATTCATTAAATTTATAGTTTAGTTAAAAAAAAATACAGGGTCTTACAATAATAAAAGATACTCTTCTCAGTACTAAAAATAATGATTTCCAGTTTTGGTCATAAAATGTCCTTTGCATTCACACAGTAACTTTAGCTTTTTTTTTTTTTTTTAAATTAAGGATGTCATAGAAGTTTCTATAAACTCCTATAAACACTCTCATCCTCAGGGCACAAGAATGTCAAAATTGGGTGAGCACTGCCAACTCTCCACCCATATTGTAATGTAATTCTTGGATGGCAGGACTGGATACATGAAAGTGTCTGTTTTGCATTAATTTATAACCCTATTAAAATGAGATGGGAGGTCCGTGGGATCTGAAAAAACAGTGTCTTCTTGCTTGTAAATATGGCCACAGTGGGAAGTATGCAGAAACCATTTTATTATTCCTTCCTTGGCATAACGTGCTATAATTTTCCTTTCTTCAAATTCATAACTCAGGAGTCCTATATGAGCCATCGCTGCAGAGACACAAACATCAGTTCTCTACCCTGGAAGGAAAATCAGAGCTTGAGCTCATTCTTCAAAGTGTGGTACATGCAGAAGTTCCTTTTGCTCCCCAACACACAGATGGACTCCTCAGGGTATTGCTGCCCACAAGACTAGCAGCTTCTCCTCAAGGTCAACCAAGATTCATTCCCATCCTGACCCATGGCTGTAGAAACTGAAATAAGGGCTGGTGCTTTGGCAGAGAAGCCCAACCAGCTCTCAGAGATGGGACTACAGACCCTGAAGTGACATTTCAGGTCTGTCCCCAGCTGAACCTCTGTGCACGCATGTGCGCACACACATACACACACACATACACAACTTGCCCACAAAGGTGCAGCATTTCCTATACACTGAGATACTGTGATAATTCATGAACTATTTAAAATTCTGAGACCTGACAGCAAAAAGAGAGATAATAGTTGACATAAAAAGTAAAAGTAGAGTATTTCAGCCTAAATCCCAGTGGTATTTATTCCACACGTATGTTGGGGTGTAAGAGGGAGAAAAGTGTATTTTTATTTCTACCAAAAATGAAATGCTTGATTCTATGATTGAAACTATACAATAGTACATATACAAGTGGTGACAGATTATAAAATTTTTCAATATTAAAATTAAATAATTTTTAAACATTTATTTTAAAAAGTTATTTAACATTAATTAAACACATACAGAGCAATAAGAGAAAACAGCAAATCAAAAGCAATCTGTCTGATAATTAACTCAGAAGCCCTTTCTAGGGGGCTAACAGCACTGATTAGATTCCCTCGAGGAGAGTCCGGGTCGGAAATACTCCCAGGTGGGCTTCCCAACTCGGATGGCCTGGGTTTGCTTTTCAGAGCCACAGGAAGGGCATGAGAAGGTAAGGAGTTTCTTTTCTAAGAAACTTTTCCTAGACTTATTCCCCCCACCGCTGCTCACCTTTTTCAATCCTTCCCTTGACATCCTTGCCCCCATCAGCCGACTGGCTTATGAACATATTTAGAACTTCTTGAGCTCTAGGGTGTGGTGTGAGGAGGTTGTAGAGCAGTGCTGATAGAGACGGAACTTCACTAGAGTTGGGCTGGCAGATATGAGCAGCACTGACAAGTCCCATGAGGCCTCTATGATCCCTAAACGGTCAACCCTTAGGGATGATTTCCCTTTTAACTATAATTACCTCAGGTTTCAGTTCCAGGGCCTTATTAAAGCAAGAGCTTTCTCTGGTGTCCAGGAAATCCTCACTTTGGTTTCAAGCTGAAATTCTTTGCCCAAGTATCTTTGACGAAAGCATTAGCTTTTCTCTCAGCCATCATAGGCTTAATCTGTATCTCATTTTCCTACACACAGCTCCTGTTTCTGTCATCAGTTCTGAATTCTCTTTTTTCTCCCCTACTCTGCTCTGTTTCCTTTCTGTTTTCTATTGTTCTGATTCTTTTTTTTTTTTTTAATTGTGTTTGCACATGCTCTGGGGCACATGTGCACATCCTGCATCCTGCAGGATTGTTGTATAGGTACATACATGCCATGGTGGTTTGCTGTCTCCATCCCTACCCCCACCCCCGTTGCCTACATCAGGCATTTTCTCCTGATGTTATCCCTCCCCATTCTCCTGTGCCCCGACTCGCAGTCCCTCCCCTCCACCCACCCCTGATCTAGCCCTGTGAGTGTTGTTCCCTCCCCTGTGCCCAAGTGTTCTCATTGTTCATCACCTGCCTATGAGTGAAAACATGTGGTGTTTGGTTTTCTGTTCTTGTGTCAGTTTGCTGAGAATGATGGTTTCCAGGTTCATCCATGTCTCTACAAAGGACACAAACACATCGTTTTTTATGGCTGTGTAGTATTCCATGGTGTATAAGTGCCACATTTTTTTGGCCCAGTCTATCATCGGTGGGCATTTGGGTTGGTTCCGGGTCTTTGCTGTCGTAAACAGTGCTGCAGTGAACATATGTGTGCATGTGTCTTTATGACAGAATGATTTATAATCCTTTTGGTATGTACCCAGTAATGGGATTGCTGGGTCAAATGAAATTTCTATTTCTAGAAACTTGAGGAATCACCACACCGTCTTCCATAATGGTTGAACTAATTTACACTCCCACCAGCAGTGTAAAAGTGTTCCTTTTTGTCCACATCCTCTCCAGCATCTGTTGTCTCCAGATTTTTTAATGATCGCCATTCTAACTGGCGTGAGATGGTATCTTAATGTGGTTTTGGTTTGCATTTCTCTAATGACCAGTGATGATGAGCATTTTTTCATATGTTTGTTGGCCGTACAGTTGTCTTCTTCTGTAAAGTGTGTTCATATCCTTTGCCCACTTTTGAATGGGTTTGATTTTTTTCTTGTAAAACTTCTTTAATTCTTTGTAGATTCTGGATATTAGCCCTTTGTCAGATGAGTAGATTGAAAAATCTTTTCCAATTATGTTGGTTGCCAGTTTACTCTAATGATTTTTTTGTTGTTGTTGCTCTACAGAAGCTCTGAAGTTTAATTTGGTCCCATTTGTCTATTTTGGCTTTTGGTGTTTTAGTCATGAAGTCCTTGCCTATGCCTATGTCCTGAATGGTTTGGCCTAGGTTTTCTTCTAGGGTTTTTATGGTGTTAGTTCTTATGTTTAAATGTTTAATCCATCTGGAGTTAATTTTTGTATAAGGTGTAAGGAAGGGGTCCAATTCAGCTTCCTATATATGGCTAGCCAGTTTTCCCAACACCCTTTATTAAACAGGGAATCCTTTCCCCATTGCTTGTTTTTGTCCAGTTTGTCAAAGATCAGATGGTTGTAGATGCGTGGCATTACTTCTGAGGCCTCTGTTCTGTTCCATTGGTCTACATCTCTGTTTTGGTGCCAGTACCATGCTGTTTTGATCACTGTAGCCTTGTAGTATAGTTTGAAGTCAGGTAGCATGATGCCTCCAGCTTTGTTCTTTTTGCTTAGGATTGTCTTGGCTATGCGGGCTCTCTTTTGGTTTCATATAAAATTTAACGTGTTTTTTTTCCAATTCTGTGAAGAAGGTCTTTGGTAGCTTGATGGGGATAGCACTGAAGCTATAAATTACTTTGGGCAGTATGGCCATTTTCACAATATTGATTCTTCCTAACCATGAGCATGAAATGTTTTTCCATCTGTTGTGTCCTCTCTTATTTCCTTGATCAGTGGTTTGTAGTTCTTCTTGAAGAGATCTTTTACCTCCTTTGCTGGTTGTATTCCTAGGTATTTTATTATCTTTGTAGCAATTGTAAATGGGAGTTTGCTCATGATTTGGCTCTCTGTCTGTTATTGGTGTATAGGAATGCTTGTGATTTCTGCATATTGATTTTGTATCCTGACACTTTGCCAAAGTTGCTTATCAGCTTAAGGAGGTTTTGGGTTGAGATGATGGGGTCTTCTAAATATATGATCATGTCGTTTGCAAACAGGGAAAATTTGACTTCTTCTTTTCCTAATTGAATGCCCTTTCTTTCTTTCTTTTTTTTCTTTTTTCTTTTTTTTTTTGCCTAATTGCTCTGGATAGAACTTCCAATACTATATTGAATAGGAGTAGCGGGAGAGAGCATCCTTGTCTAGTGCCAGTTTTTAAAGGGAATTCTTCTAATTTTTGCCCATTCAGTATGATATTGGCTGTGGGTTTGTCATAAATAGCTTTTATTGTTTTGAGATATTTTCCATTGATAACTAGTTTGTTGAGAGTTTTTAGCATAAAGGGCTGTTGAATTTTGTCAAAGGCCTTCTCTGCATCTATTGAGATAATCGTGGTTTTTGTCTTTGGTTCTGCTTATGTGGTGAATTATGTTTATGGATTTGCGTTATGTTGAACCAGACTTGCATCCCTAGGATGAAGCCTATTTGATTGTGGTGGATAAGCTTTTTGATATGCTGTTGGAGGCAGTTTGCCAGTAGTTTACTGAAGATTTTTGCATCAATGTTCATCATGGATATTGGCCTGTAGTTTTCTTTTTTAGTTGAGTCTCTGCCAGATTTTGGTATCAGGATGATGATGGTCTCAGAGAAAGAGTTAGGAAGGATTCCCTCTTTTTGTATTGTTTGGAATAGTTTCAACAGGAATGGTACCAGCTCCTCTTTGTATGTCTGGTAGAATTCAGCTGCGAACCCGTCTGGACCTGGATTGTTTTTGGTTGGTAGCCTATCAATTGCTGCCTCGACTTCAGACCTTGTTACTGGTCTATTCAGGGTTTCAACTTCGTCTTGGCTTAGGCTTGGGAGTGTGCAAGTGTCCAGGAATTTATCCATTTCTTCCAGATTTACTGGTTTATGCACAGAGTTGTTTTGGTAATCTCTGATGGTAGTTTGTATCTCCATGGAATCAGTGGTGATCTCCCCTTTATCGTTTTTTAGTGCATCTATTTGATTCTTCTCTTTTTCCTTTTTATTAGTCTAGCTAGCGGTCTATTTTGTTGATCTTTTCAAAAAACTAGCTCCTGGATTTATTGATTTTTCGAAGGCTTTTTTTTAATGTCTCTATCTCCTTCAGTTCTGCTCTGATCTTAGTTATTTCTTGTCTTCTGCTAGGTTTTGAGTTTTTTTTTTTTAATCTTGCTCCTCTAGCTCTTTCAATTTTGATGACAGGGTGTCAATTTTAGATGTTTCTCATCTGGGCATTTATTGCTATAAATTTCACTCTAGACACTGCTTTAAATGTGTCCCATGGTATGTTGTGTCTTCATTCTCATTCGTTTCAAAGAACATTTTTATTTCTGCCTTCATTTCATTGTTTATCCATTTGTCGTTTAGGAGCAAGATGTTTGGTTTCTATGTGATTGTGTGGTTTTGAGTGCTTTTCTTAAACCTGAGTTCTAATTTGATTGTGCTGTGGTCTAAGAGACTGTTTGTTATGATATCCATTCTTTTGCCTTTGCTGAGGAGTGATTTACTTTGAATTATGTGGTCAATTCTGGAGTAAATGCAATGTGGTGCTGAGAAGAATGTGTATTCTGTGGATTTGGGGTGGAGTGTCCTGTAAATGTCTATAAGGTCTGCTTGGTTCAAAACTGTGTTCAAGTCTTGGATATCCTTGTTGACTTTCTGTCTCATTGATCTGTCCAATATTGTCAGTGGAGGGTTAAAGTCTTCCACTATTATTGTTTGGGAGTCTAAGTTTCTTTGTGGGTCTTTAAGAACTTGCTTTATGTATCTGGGTGCTCCTGCATTGGGTGCATATATATTTAGGATCGTTAGCTCTTCTTGTTATATTGATCCTTTCACCATTATGTGATGCCTTTCTTTGTCTCTTTTGATCTTTGTTGGTTTAAAGTACATTTTATCAGAGACTAGGATTGCTGCCCCTGCTTTTTTCTGCTCTCCATTTGCTTGGTAGATCTTCTTCCATCTCTTTATTTTGAGTCTGTGTGAGTCTTTGCATGTGAGATGGGTCTCCTGAATACAGCACACCAATGACTTTTTATCCAGTTTGCCAGTCTGTGTCTTTTGATTGGGGCATTTAGGCCATTTTCATTCAACATTAATATTGTTATGTTTGAATTTGATCCTGCCATTTTGTTACTGGCTGGTTGTTTTGCCCGTTAGTTAAGGTGGTTTCTTCATTACATCATTGTTCTTTTTTTTTTAAATTGTACCTTAGTTCTAGGGGACATACACAGATCATGCAGGATTGTTGCATAGGTACACACATGGCAATGTGGTTTGCTGCCTCCATCCCCCATCAGCTACATCTGGCATTTCTCCTCATGTTATCCCTCCCTGACCTCCCTATCCCACTGCTGTCCCTCCCTTGACCCCCACTCAACAGACCCCAGTGTGTGATGTTCCCCTCCCTGTGCCCATGTGTTCTTATTGTCCATCACCTGCCTATGGGTGAGGAGAACATGCGGTGTTTGATTTTCTGTTCTTGTGTCAGTTTGCTGAGAATGATGGTTTCCAGATTCATCCATGTCCCTACAAAGGACATAAACTCATCATTTTTCATGGCTCCATAGTATTCCATGGTGTATATTTGCCACATTTTTTTTGTCCAGTCTATCGTCGATGGGCATTTGGGTTGGTTTCAGGTCTTTGCTAATCAGTGCCGCTATGAACATATGTGTGCATGTGTCTTTATAACAGAATGATTTTTTAATGATCACCTTTCTAACTGGCATGAGATGGTATCTCAATGTGGTTTTGATTTGCATTTCTCTAATGACCAATGATGATAAGCATTTTTTCATATATTTATTGGCTGCATACTTGTCGTCTTTTGTAAAGTGTCTGTTCATATCCTTTGCCCGCTTTTGGATGGGTTAGTTTTTTTTCTTGTAAAACTGCTTTAGTTCTTTGTAGATTCTAGATATTAGCCCTTTGTCTGATGGGTAGATTGCAAAAATTTCTTCCCATTCTGTTGGTTGCTGGTTTACTCCAATGATTTTTTCTTTTGCTGTACAGAAGCTCTAAAGTTTAATTAGGTCCCCTTTGTCTATTTTGGCTTTTGGTGTTTTAGTCATGAAGTCCTTGTTTGTGCCTATGTCCTGAATGGTTTTGCCTAGGTTTTCTTCTAGAGTTTTTATGGTGTTAGGTCTTATGTTTAAGTTCTTCATCCATGCGGAGTTAATTTTAGTGTAAGGTGTCAGGAAGGGGTCCTGTTTCTGCTTTCTGTACGCTGCTAGCCAGTTTTCCCAACACCATTTATTAAACTGGGAATCCTTTCCCCATTGCTTGTTTTTGTCATGTTTGTCAAAGATCAGATGGAGTGGACCTCCAGCAGTCCTGCAGCAGAGGGGCCAGACTGTTAGAAGGAAAACTAAGAAACTGAAAGAAATAACTTCATCATCAACAAAAAGGATGTCCACTCAGAGACCCGATCAGAAAGTCACCAACTACAAAGACTACAGGTAGATAAAGCCAGTAAGATGGGAAGAAACCTGCGCAAAAAGGATGAAAACACCACAACCTAGAATGCCTCTCTTCCTCCAGAGGATCACCACTCCTCACTAGCTAGGGATCAAAGATGGATGGAGAATGAATCTGATGAACTGACAGAAACAGGCTTCAGAAGGTAGGGAATAACAACCTTCTCTGAGCTAAAAGAACATGTGGGATTACAGACCCTGCTTAACTGGGGATCACCACGGGGTCTGCAGAACAGTAAGGTTTGCTGCCAGTTTCTTCTTCTGTTATCTTCATCCCATAAGGGTACCTGCCAGATGTTGGCCTGAGCTCTCCTTTATGAGGTGTCTCTTTGGGTATATGGGGGTTGGGGAGCTGCTTGAGGAGACAGTCTTTCCATTATAGGAGCTCAAGTGCTGTGCTGAGAACTCCGTTGTTCTGTGCAGAGATGCTAAACAGGTATTTTAAGTCAGCTGCAGCAGAACTCATAACCACCTCTTTTCCTAGGTGTTCTGTCCTAGGAAGGGTGGCTTTATTTATAAGTTCCTGTCATGCTGCTGCCTTTTTTCATAGATGCCCTGCCCCACACAGAGTAGTCTAGTCACAGTCTGCCAGCAGAGGTGTTGCTGAGCTGCCACACACTCTGCCCAGCTGCTGTGTGAACTGCCTCAGTAGTGGTAGTCACCCTTCCCCCTACTGAGCTGGACTGTCCTGGGTTAAGCTGCACTTGCTGCAAAACTCTCAATCCAGAGCATTTCAGATTGCTTGTTTTGTGGGGGTGGTACCTGCCAAGCCAGATTGCCTGGCTCCCTGTCTCTGTCCCCTCCCTTTCGGTTGAATGGGTGGCTCTGTCTCCCAGGCATTCCGGGTGCCAGTTGAAATGGCCGCCCAGATTTATGTGAGTTTCTGTATGCCAAGCTGGTGCTGAAAACTGTGGTGCTTTTTGGCCTGGGAATCTCCTGGTCTGTGGGCAGTGTAAATTTGTTTGGAAATGCAGTGGGCACTCACCCTGTGCATTGCTCTTTCTGGGAACTGCACTCCGGAGCTATTCCTATTCGTTCATCTTGGATTCTCCCCTGTGTCGTTGTACTTTCCATTTGGTATGTGTTTGCAGTGGCTGGGACTGGTTGTTCCTTTCCCTGTTTAGTACTTCCTTCAGTAGCTCTTGTAAGGCAGGTCTTGTAGCGACGAAATCTCTTAGCCATTGCTTGCCTATAAAGGATTTTATTTCTCCTTGACTTATGAAGCTTAGTTTGGCCAGATACGAAATTCTGGGTTGAAAGTTCTTTTCTTTAACGATGTTGAATATCAGCCCCACTCCCTTCTAGCTTGCAGTGTTTCTGCCGAGAGATCCTCTGTGAGTCTCATGGGCTTCCCTTTGTGGGTGACTCGACTTTTCTCTCTGGCTGCCCTTAGGATTTTTTCCTTCATTTCAACCCTGGTGAATCTGTCAATTATGTGCCTTGGGGTTGCTCTTCTTGAGGTGTTCTCTGTATTTCCTGGAATGAATGCTGGCCTGCCTTGTTAGGTTGGGGACGTTCTCTTGGATAATATCCTGAAGAGTGTTTTCCAACTTGGATTAATTCTCCCTGTCACATTCAGGTATGCCGAACAAGCGTAGAATAGGTCATAATCCCATGGTTCTTGGAGACTTTGTTCCTTTTTTTTGCTCTTTTTTTCCTCTAATCTTGCCTTCTCATTTTATTTCATTGATTTGGTCTTCAATATCTGATATCTTTTCTTCTTGATCAAATCAGCTGTTGAAACTTGTGTATGCCTCGCAAAGTTCTTGTGCTGTGTTTTTCAGCTCCAACAAGTCATTGAAATTCTTCTCTAAGCTGGTTATTCTAGTGAGCATTTCATCTAACCTTTTTTCAAGGTTCTTAGTTTCTTTGCATTGGGTTAGAACATGGTCTTTTAACTCAGAGAAGTTTGTTATTGCCTGCCTTCTGAAGCCTGCTTCTGTCAATTCGTCAAATTCATTCTCTGTCTTTCTTTGTTCCCTTGATGGTGAGGAGTTGTGATCCCTGGGAGGAGAAGAGGTGTTCTGTTCTTTGATGGTTTCATCCTTTTTGTGCTGTGTTCTTCCCATCTTTTTGGATTTATCTCCCTTTGATCTTTGAAATTGGTGATTTCAGGAGGAGTCTCTGAGTGGACTTTTTTCTGTTGTTGTTGGGGCTATATCTTTTTTGGCCTGTAGAGGGCGTTGCTGGGCTCCTTCGGGTTCAGTCAGGTTGTTGAGTGGGTGGTCCTTCCCTGGAGTTTGTTAGCAGGTGAGATTGGCCCTGCCTTTCCAATGTATCTCTCCTTCCCCAGTTGGATCTGCCTAGTTGGGGTCAAGCTAGTGTATTTGCTGCCAAGCCATCTGACTAGGGCTTCAGTTTGAGTTCTGTGGAGGTGGAGCCTGCCAGGCCTTATGGTCTGTTTCCCTGCTTTCAACTCGGCCTCCCTCTGTGGGAAGGTCCATCCCTCTGGCATTAGTACAAACTGCCCAGGTCCCTGCGACAATTTGCAGCACCTGGTGGGAGCCACTGCTCAGATTTGCATCAACCACCCATGGCGCCCCACCATCTCACAGGGCTCTCGTGGACCATGGGTTGCAGGAGGGATGACGTAAGCACAGAATCTGAATAGGAGCACCGAGGGGGTGAAGTCCCCTGACCCTCCGAGCCGGCTGCATGTTTCAGGTGGGGATGCACCCTCCCCTGTCTTGATTTGCCCCCTCTGGGTGGCTCTCGCCCTGCGGCTCCTTCCCTGGAACTATTTTCAGTGCCCTATCAGTCCCTCAGAAATGAACCTGGCATCTCATTTGGAATCGTGAAGTTCTCTAGCCCTCTGCCTCTCATTCACTGGGAGCTGCATTCCAGTGTTGTCTTCTCTCAGCCATCTTGGTTCCCCTCACAACCCTGTTCTGATTCTTTTGGCTGATGTTCCTTCATTTGCCATGAGATCACATCAACCTGTCCTGCCTCACTCTGCTCATTTAGTCTAAGCTCACAGCATCACCACAAATCCATACTAAGGCTCAGGATACCTCACCCCAACATCATCTCCTTGGCTCCAGGGTCCCCTTCATCTCTAGGTTCACCTGATTGTTTTCTCAGAGATTCCTGAATTTTATTTTATTTTATTATTTTTTGAGGCAGAGCTTCCCTTTGTCACCCAGGCTGGAGATCAACAGTGTGATCTTGGCTCACTGCATCTTTTGTTCAAGTGATTCTCATGCCTTAGCCTCCTAAGTAGCTGAGATTACAGGTATGTGCCTCCATGCCCAGCTATTTTTTGCATTTTTAGTAGAGATGGGGTTTCACCATGTTGCCTAGGCTAGAGCTGAACTGGTCTCAAGTGATGGGCCCACCTCCGCCTTCCATAATGTCGGGATTACAGGTGTGAGCCACCATGCCTGGCTGAGATCCCTGAATTTTGAACACAGGGTATTACTTTTGGGCTCTGGGAAGTCCAGAGTCTCTCTCTGCCTTTCCTTTTATTTATTTATTTAATAAAAATCTATATTTTATTATATTCACATCTATCCTGTATTGGGAGTTCAATCGTTTGGGGATGTAGTACAGTGGGAGATTTCTCATTGTATTGGATTCCAGTAGTAGCAGGGACCCACAAAGCTTACCATTTTGTTAGGCATGGAAACAAATACACATGCTAGTGCTGCAGAATTAGGACACAGCAGTGTGACCAGAAGAAAATCACACTGCTCTGGAAATGCATTGCTGAAAGGAAACATAGGCATGCTCAGGTCCAAATTTCCTACCTTTGTACTTAAAAAATATTTGGACTCAGCATTAGGGGTGACCTTACTCTCTTCCAAGGACCAGGGACTGCAAGGCTTCAACTGAGAAGCTTTGAGGCAGAAGGCAGGACTTTTACCATCCTTGAAGGATGTGTGCATTTGGGATGAAGACAGCTATTTTGTGCTGATCTGGTAGACTGTTGGTTGAATTCTTACGTGTGGGGGGCACATGGAGTACCAGGCCTCCTGCCAGCCTCTAGATGCCCTATTAAAGCATCCCATGCCAAGCAGCAGGTAGATGACCCATAAGATGAGAGCAGACCCAAGAAGCAGCTGGCACTTGTCTCCACCTTCTCCTGGGATGGATTAAGATTGGCCTCTCGTTTCAAAACTGTTAGTGTGGTAATATTTTAACAGTTCCCTGCCCAATTAATTTGTTTTCTAAGGACCCAAGAGAAGCCGGAGAGCATCAGTGATTTATAATGGCAGGCAGTTCTGCAGTGGATTTTTCAGCACTTGACTGACTCCCGCTAACTGTAAATGAGTGGTTACCTCATGATATGGTTTGGCTCTGTGTCCCTACCCAAATCTCATGTCAAATTATAGTCCCCATGTGTTGGGGGAGTGGTCTGATGGGAGGTGATTGAGTCAAGTTCTTGCTGTTCTAGTGACAGAGTTATCATGATATCTGGTTGTTTGATAAATATCTGGTGATTTCCACTTCTCTTTCTTTCCTGCTGCCATGTGAGATATGCCTGGCTTCCCCTTTACCTTTTACCATGATTATAAGTTTCCTGAGGCCTCCCCATTCATGTAGAACTGTGAGCTAATGAATCCCCTTTCCTTTATTAATTACCCAGTCTTGGGTAGTTCTTTATAGCAGTGTGAAAATGGACTAGTACACCTTATCATCTAATACATCACATAGATCTGTTGCTGCAACAGAATCCACTCTGACCCCTGCTTCTGCCACATTTGGAAAATGTAGGGGAAGGAATATGGTTCTCATTTCATTTGAAAGGAGCACTGCCTGAGGATGAGGCCACTGGCTTCTCTCTCACCCACAGGAAGGAATTCACCAGAGACCCTCTACCAAGACCCAGAGGGTGGAAATTAGAAGTTGCACACCCAGGCTGGGTACAGTGGCTCACACCTGTAATCCCAGCACTTTGGGAGGCTGAGGTGGGTGGATTGCCTGAGGTCAGGCATTTGAGACAGCCTGGCCCACATGGTGAAACCCTGTCTCTACTAAATATATATATATATAAATTAGCCAGTTGTGGTGGCACATGCCTGTAATCCCAGCTACTCAGGAAGCTGAGGCATAAGAGTCACTTTAAACCAGGAGGTGGAGGTTGCAGTGAGCCAGGATTGTGCCACTGCACTCCAGCCTGGGTGACAGAGGGAGATTCCATTTCAAAAAAAAAAGTTGCACCCCCCCATCAAGTCTTTTCCATCTCAGCACTTACTTACCTTGGTGGCATTTTTCTTTACAAAAATCAAGTAGCTATTATGAGCTAAATTGTGTGTTCTTAAAATTTCTATGTTAAAAGTCCTAACTGTCATCACCACAGAATGTGACCTTATTTGGAGACAGGGTCTTTATAGAGGTAATTGATCAGATTAAAATGAGGCCACAGGTTGGGCCCTAATGCAGTATGACTGATGTCCTTATAGAAAGGGGAATGTTGGGTACAGAATTGTACAGAGGGAAGATGTGGTATGAAGACACAGGGAGATGAGGGCCACCTACAAACCAGAGAGAGAGGCTGGAACAGATCCTTACCTCATGGCCCTCAGAAGGAACCCACCCTGCCAACACCTTGATCTTGAACTTCTGGCCTCCAGAATAAGACATTTCTGTTTAAGCCACGAAATCTGGGGTACTTTGTCACAGCAGCTCTAGAAAACTAACAAAATAGCCATCACTGGGATTTAGGAAGTCTTAAAAAAAAAAAAAAACCCATATTTGCATCCTGTTATATTTAATTCTATTCTCTGTTAAAGTTACTGCAAAAGCCACAATCACCTGGGAGGTCAGTGGCTGCAGGCCAGGACCTGTTGAAGATCGAAGGTGAAGAAAAGGCTTTCTCCGCCCCATATTTGTTGATACATCGTTAAAATTGCTGCCTAAGCAGTAGAAAGATGCATTTTCTGTGTGGAATCTCCAATTTGCCAAGGGGC